ACTCTGGAAGACAACATCATTCGTTGTGGTGGCAGAATTCACAATGCACCAGTGGAACATTCAGCAAAGTTTCCCATACTTTTACCCCCAAACCACCACTTCACCTTGCTGGTTGTCAAGACGCACACGAGAAACTACAACACGCTGGATTAAACCAAACCCTGACACAAATACGCCAGAAGTATTGGATTCGAACAGCTCGCCGGTACATCAAGAAATGTGTAACGTGTCGAAAGGTCTGCGGAACACCATACAATGCCCCTGACCCACCTCCACTTGCATTCTATAGAATGACGGACTCCCACCCATTTACCGTCACCGGTGTAGACTCCACCGGGGCCATCTACGTCAAAACGCCACGTGGACAAGAAAAGGTCTACATCTGCTTGTTCACCTGTGCAAACACACGCGCAGTCCACTTCGAAGTAGTCACAAATTTAACTGTTCCGACCTTCATGTCTGCCTTTCGAAGATTCGCAAGTCGCAAGTCCTTACCAAAAATTATGGTGTCAGACAACGCATCAACGTACCAATCTGCCGCAGAAGAGTTGACCCTACTATTCATTCAACAGAGTTGGAAACCAATCTTAGTAAACGAGGAAGCCAGTGGAAATTTATCCCAAGACGAGCACCATGGTACGGTGGTTTCTGGGAAAGATTAATTGGTCTGACAAAGAACTCCTTGAAAAAGGTTCTCGGAAAGGCGAACGTCGCTTCAGGAGAGCTCCAAACAATTTCCTCCGAAACGGATGTAATCCTCAATGACCGCCCGTTAACCCACGTATCATCAGAACCAGACGACGCAGAACCATTAACACCATCCCATCTACTGTATGGCCGGAGAATTACCACCTTACCCCACCCCCTTTACGAAGACAACGAGTTTCGTGATCCTATCTATGAATCCGAACCTAGTAACATTGATGTCCAAGCAAAATTGAGAACACACCTAATACAACACTTTTGGAAACGTTGGCGTCAAGAATATCTGACGAGCTTACGGGAATTTCATGAAACCACTGGAAACGATTCAACCGCGATACGTGTTGGTGATGTGGTGCAAGAACACAATGATACGAAACGTGTTAACTGGAGACTTGCTGTTGTACAAAGTTTAATCAAGGGAAAAGACGGACTAGTACGGGCATCAAATATCAAAACAAGTACTGGACATACGAACAGACCAGCAGTAACTAAACTTTACCAACTCGAAGTTAAATCCACAACAACAGAGAACCCAAAGATCACCATTGACGAAAACCTAGACGCAAAGAATCCCTCAACAAATCCTCACCCAGCTGACGTCATAGATCAAAAGTCAAGCAGACCTGTTCGAGCAAAAGCACGATTGGCAAAGAAGAAGTTGAAACAGTGGACATCCATACTCTCGCGCTCCCCGGAGGATGTCGAGAATTGACAGTACTTTGAACATTATAGATATCTTGCACGCATTCTAATATAAACAGTTCATTATTAATATCTTATATCGAACACGGTTAGTTAATTGAACTAGGATAGAATTACACTTGCACTAGGATAACCGGGATATTCAGGATAATTATTGATAATCATCTTTTTGTTGTATATAGTTTTCGCACTGGCTTTTGAGCTTGTGTTAGTGTAAATAATACATATTCAAACTATGGTGTAGATCGTCCTTGATTCTATCGAAAGAACCTTTGCTACATTAGATCTCGTTATCGTCGTAGACAAGTTAACACAACGCAAGACAACACTATAGCTTATTTCGAGTGACGAACGAGACAGGCATGCCGCAGGCATATGTGAACCAGGCTTTACTGTTATCATGAATTTTGTTTTGACAAATATTGAAGTATTTGTTGTTATAGTTCTATAACTTCTATTAATCAAACCAAAAGGAACCAACACGGAAAATTACTTGCGCGAATATAAAGATGCGCGAACAAGTTTCGCGAAATTGGAATGCGCGAATTTAAAGCTGAACGAAAATGAGTATACGACGCGAATTTTAATACAAGTAAGGTATACAATACATGGATTTGAAACATCTAACCATATATTTATGATACGTTATCCCAGGAAGCAGGCTCAGCTGTTGTAATTCTAAACTCTGTTAGTATACATGTAAACTACAATATAATATATCGGAGTGTAACTATTTCTATCAATTTCATTTACACTACTCACTAGTCTTTATAGACTACAGGTCTACAACTAATAATTACATGAGCAAAGTCTAAGATATAAAATATATAGGAGATTAACTAACATATTTCTTAATATAAACACACATGGCATGCCAAATGCCAATGGCTATCAAATAGTGTGAGTGGCCATTGATATTGTTCTGCATTTTTATAATGATATACGTTTCATCAGCAAATATATGGTAATATATTCGAGACGCATGAACTGTGTAAAATTCGATATGTTCATGAGACTGACCTGACACGGAGGTGATTCAAACAGCGCTGTCTTCACAGTTCACATCGCGGGAAATGCAAATTATGCCAATAATCGCACACCAAAAGCTTTCGATCAGAATTCTTTCGCGCACCTTTTCGTTAAATGAAACACGTTTACATTCGTTCATTATACACAGAAGATCGTGGAGTCATGTAGAAGCCGCCATATCTTTCTCCTTGGAACGAGCGGCGATTAAAATTTACCGACTATTCGTTTACAACGAGGAGCCGACACGACAATAACAAGCCAGCATCGCTCTGAAGTCGATGCGACTATTGCAAACAGTAGCATTTTGCCTCATTCTGATTGGCTTACTTCGTCTAACCGTAGCAAACCAATCAGCACGCCGTATTTGCAAATTTTTGCAACGGTCAGTTTCAATCTGACCACTGCAAAAATTTCCAAATACAGCGCCATGATTGGTTTGCTACGGTTAGACGAAGCAAGCCAATCACAATGAAGCAAATGCTACGACTTCAGAACGATGTGATATAGTACTAGTGCAAAACCCGCAAATACAGGCAGTATTTCGGGCGGAAATTTGAGAAAAACCCGAATTTAATTATCCAAAATGAAATAAAAACTCGATAAAATTGTATCAATATGATTTAGTAAATTTAAAAAAAATTGCACCAAGTTTCAATGAAAAACTGAAAATAACGGCAATTAAAAATAGTATAACGTTTTAGTTTTTAATAACTTTAAAAAAGGTACAACCTGGAAAAATATATCTCAGGGAAAATCTGACCGTACCATATGCTACGGTTGCAACGGTCTGAATCCGCCCCTGCCCTGTATAAACACTATTGCATATCGTACTAGCTAACTAGCGTATGCCACCGTATATGAAGAATATCATACGCTGGTATTACTTATAGAAATACAATTCACTATTAGAAATAGGTTAGTAAAACAACATCGTTCGCTTACCTGAACTCTTAGTTTCCGAAAACTGCAGAGATCTCTTTGTCCTCCTCTGACAAATCTTCTCTCGCGGGTACCAGTATTGAGGCGTTCTTTCACTTGATACGACACTTTTTAACTCATCTAAATTTCAAATACAATTGTATATTAGAGACGCTGCAATGTGCCAAACTTAATGAAGATATTTGAGACCTGAACTATTACAACTAAATTAGAAAAATTAGCAAGAATCGCGCTGTCAAAGTGTGCAGAGAATATTTGCAAATTTTGTTTTTACCATGCAAGTCTCAAAAATTATATCAAAACAGACACGCATTTACATCTTGGTCGGTGACAAAGAATCTGGTCTTACCATTCAATGAAACCATAACAGGCGTAGAATTCGTTGAACTGACTTCACTCTCGGAGTCCTCGTCGGAGTCCGTGAATCCAATTGCCGTCTTAGGTGATAAATCAACATCGCTCATTGTAACTTTGCGAGGTTCATTGCTTGACGGGGAATCTAAACAAATGGTGTTTGGATATAACAAGGTAGCCATAGGCATAATTCAGACTGCGCGCGAATTATTTGTGGCGCGCGAGTTGAACGATAGAGCATGACTAGTGAAACTTATAATATATCAACTATTTGTAAATGCGCTCGAAATCTGTAGTCAAAATATAATCTAAATTTAGATAGAAACTAGTCGCTAATTAAAATCTTCGAACAAATAGATAAATATATAATATAACCTTACCATTTTGAGTAAATATAGCTGGAGAAAAGGGTTCAGAAACATGAGTCAGTATCACTAAATCCAATTGCTTTGCAACAAGGCGAGGACATTTCAAACTCCATATTGTAGGTATGCGCTGTCGATGAAGCTGGACTAGAAAACCCGAACGCAGACACAGAATCGTCCTCATTATCAGATGATTCAAGCATCTCTGACGCTAACCAGTGTCACAATCAAAAAGAGTAAGTGTGCGTATACTTGGTTTTTATCTTTCACATATAGTTTGCTTTTACAATTTATGCATATCGTTAATAGTTACTATGATTTGTGATACGGAAGCTATGTACGGAAGTCATTTGTCAAAATTTGACAGCGTGCAGCACATTCTTACGCACAAGCCAGTGATTGGTCTATCCGATTTTTAATGACGCCACGCACATTCCTGCACGCAGACTTGTGATTGGTCATTAATTTTAAGATGACGTTACAGGATCAAAGACAATAGGTGAGATATTGTCACATTCTGCGTGCAAGCTCATATAGTTTCAACTGCTCGAAGTCGTCATAGCTGCTTTCTTTAATTGAACAACTGTTTAACTTTATTGTATATACCCTACGAAAGGACGCAAGGATGCCTACAACTGGAAAGTGGTCGATTAAAGTGGAAGAAAACCGAGCGTACGTATTCTTAAATCAGAAGCAACTCTCCAAGAAGAAAAACGAATTGGAACATATTATCCGCGCTGATACCGGAGAATACAAGACGAGAAAATGTGTCACAGTAAGTCAGTCAAATTATATTTTCTCTGTTAAATGTTTACTTGGACCAAAGTGATCTCGCCACTCGCGTCGCGCTATATCACAATTAGGTTAAATATTGAACCAGGGCGCTAAAAATACTTATCTGGAAGTTGCTTTAAGCCCGCGGTTTTCCACTCGGCCAATTTGTTCGCGCGACGCAATCAAATAAAAAGTTGGATCCGTTTCTACTTTTTCGCGGTGAATTTTGTAGCTAACTAAAGCCCGTTCTCCACTAGGCAATTTGTTCGCGCGAACAGTAAAAAAAGTAGGAACTGATCCAACTTTTTCGCGGCGATTTTTTTCGCTGACCAATCACATTGCCAAGATTTGTTTTTCGCTTCGCGCCGCGCGAAAAAATTCGCCTAGTGGAGAACTGGCTTAATTGATGAATTTCGTTGATCGCGCGAACAAATTCGCGTACATGATTGTTTTTTTGGCCCTGATCATCCTCGCCCTGATGAGAAATCGCACAATTGCATTTAAGAGGCCTAGGGACTTGGTCGCGCTCATATAAGCCCTGAATATGAGGTTGAATACTTGAGTTTGTGCTTAAGCCAAGGCTGGCTTGGTAAAATTACTTCATTTTAATATTTACAAAGAATGGCTTCCGTGTATCATGCATTATCTAGTAATAAAATTATCACCTGTGGAGTGCCCCAGGGATCTATACTGGGACCACTGCTGTTCCTATTATATATTAATGATTTGCCCGATTGTTTGAAATCAACTAATCCATGCATGTACGCGGATGATACTCAAATCTTTTCATCTTCCTACGATGCAAATGAACTTGTTGTAAATTTAAATTCAGATCTTGCTCATGTCTGTAACTGGCTTAAAGAAAATAGGCTGCAGATGCATCCATCAAAATGTAAAATGATGTTTATTGGCTCCCCGTATAATCTTAATAATATAATGTGTGAGGAACCCGTTGTGGCTAATGCAAAACCCATATCA